TTTTTTTTTTTTTTTTTTCTGAATCTTGTCTTATCATTGCCGCCTCCCCTCCCCTCCCCCCCAAAAAAATGGCTGAATTACCTCAAAATATATCCTCTTTCGAACGTGTCAACGAGGCAGCTTCCTACATAAAGGAACGCCTGCCCTCCTCCCTACGAAGCCCCCGTGTTGCAATTGTTTGCGGAACTGGCTTAGGAGGCCTTGTGCATACAGTTGGGGATACACCCCGAGTGGAATATGACTACTCTTCTATACCACATTTTCCTCAGCTTACAGGCAAGTCTGGCTCCAGTGGAACATCGCTCCCACATTCCCTCTTGTTTTCCCTATTTCTTTTCCTTTTCTCTTGCCCTCCCTAATGCGCTAAACCGCTGATCAACAGTTACCGGACATGCGGGGAAACTTGTTTTTGGACTTCTTGGTCAGAAAGTTCCTGCTGTTCTAATGCTTGGTCGCGCACAGTGAGCTAGCCATAAAATCTGGATTTGTACTGGTCAGTAATCACTAATAATACCGTCAAGTTATTATGAAGGACATTCTATCGATAAAGTAACGTTTCCTGTCCGAGTCTTGAAGCTATTGGGCATTGATACCATAGTTTGTGGGCTTCCCTTCCCCGCTATATAAACTGTTCGACGATTGAACTAAATCATACAATATTAGTGACCAATGCTGCCGGTGGCCTGAATCCTGAATATGCGGTAGGAGACCTCGTGTTACTGAACGACGTATGTTTCACATTTCTGAATGGCATCTACTTCGTGCTAATACTGATATTACTACTGATTAGCATATCTTCATTGCCGGTCTGGCAGGCACACATCCACTACGCGGCCCAAATGTGGAGGAGTTCGGTCCTCGGTTTCCCCCTTTGTCAGACGCCTATGACCTCGAACTTCGTCGTTACGTGCATAAAGCGTGGAAAACCGTTATACCATCGCAAAGCAAACGGAGACTGCATGAGGGGGCCTATGCGTTCGTTGGAGGTCCAAGGTGTGTGGAAAGATCACATCAACTCCAGCGCGGCTTGGATGTCACTGACTAGCAATGCAGTTATGAGACTAGAGCTGAGTGCCGTATGCTTCGTCAACTCGGAGCAGACCTAGTTGGCATGTCGACTGTACCAGAAATAGTTGCTGCTAGACATTGTGATCTGCGAGTTATCGCACTCAGCCTTGTGACCAACAAGGCCGTACTGTCTCCTGTGCCTCGAGGAGATGACCATCTCCTCGAGGCGAAGGAGGCAGAGGAGCTTGACGCTATACTGCAGGAAGGGAAAGCCAATCACGAAGAGGTCCTCGAAGCAGCTCGCTCTGCGGCCCTTGATATGCAAGTAAGTCATCATGATGGTCCGTTTCCAAGTATCGATAATAACATCGTAGAAAGGACCTTGTGCAAAAAACCGTACAGGATATCTTCCAGCAACATTAGCGCTTGGTGATTACCTCTGAGCGATGGTATGCTGCCAAAACAAATGACGACTCGGGCTCAGCCTCCAAATCGCCATAGCTAGCGCTATGCGGGGTTCAAAGCATTTTCTTGACGAACTGAGACATTGCTTTTCACTTGTTTTCACGGCCCCTCTTCGACCGTAGATCTTTGTAAAATGCTTTTTTGCCGCTTCGCTTCGTGGTCTGTATGTCGTTGTATTTGGATTCGAAACGTCTTGTTTCGCGCTCCATAGCCATAGCCTCTTCCACAAAGGTTCTCTTGCGATCTTTCTTTGCGATACGTCCACTGAAAAACTCGGTTGGTCCCTCGACTATTGTTCCCATTTGGGAGAACTCTGGAGGTTTCGCTTTCCCTTCTTTCTTGTAGTGTCTTTTTGGGTCTAGAACTGAACGCATCCGAAGGAGCTGCAAATCCCTCTTCAACTCTGGTGTCATTTCTGTCTTTGGAAGATTAAACCAATCTTCTCCCGCTGTGGGTTTGTCCTTCTAGTTCAGCATAAAGTTAGCCTATGGCCATCTGTGAGATTGACTGACAACAAAAACAAAAGCCGTGAAAAATGCTCAGAGTAACTATGAAATAGTAGAACTCTCATTGGCGCAGCGCAACCCAAAACGGGCTGGTGAAGCTGCATCAAGCGCTAACGCGTGGGAAATTATCCTCATAGCAAAGTACAATAAAATGAAGAATAAATCAAGATATTCTCAGGAAATCTCACCTTCTTTCCTGGAGTGTTCAACGTCCTGGTCTTGGTTGGATCGAAGTTAGGCATGTCTTTTTGTCGGGAATCACTCATACGAGAAGGATCGAGCGTGGCGACTTCATTTGTTTCGTGTACGTATGGTTGCAAAGAATGATTTGCTGATAACTTCGGAATTCTTGAATCAGGGTTAGCTCCCTTGTAATCGCCGTGCACAGGCAAAGTGCCATATAGATTCGACCTTACAGAGAAGATGTATCTTTGTTTTCATTCCCATTAGACATCTGGAGCTCTGAATCCTGGGTTGGTTTCGATCCAGGAGCTCGAAGCCGGCTCTCTGCTTCATGAAGCAGCTTCTGAATCTCATCATCTGTTATATCAACCTCAGTGTGAGGTTGGACAGGATGATGCTCCGTGCATACTCCCTCTGCCATATGGACGTGATAAAAGAAGAGGAAGAAGAAATAATAGTAAAAGAAACTCAAGGGAGGGGGAGGGGGCGCAGGCAAGAAAGCTTCAAAAATTGAGATGGGAGAAAAAAAAATTTCAGATTTTATATTGGATTCCGCTGCCCATGTGGGGCAAAAACCCGCACTAGTCTAAATACAGTGCGTGCAATATCTTCAACTCGTAGTTACTTAGTCTGTGTCCTGGTAGTTTCTTTCTTTTTTTCCTATTTTGATTCTTATTCATTTTATTTTTGGTTTATTATTCTTTCAATATTTTATACTTGTTTCTTCTGATAGCACCGTGGATTGAAATTAAGATCGCATAGTTACGATTGAAGTGGAAAGCGGTAAAGGTCATTTTTATCTAATTTCTGGTGGAATACTGGGACGATCGTTGTTCACCAACTATACAGCCATGCTTTCCTTTCCGAAGTCGCGCATGCTGCTAGGACTAGGCAAGCGACTCAAGGTATGCCACTCGCCACAGTACTTATGTCGGATTCGGTTCTAACCATATTGGCAAAGTTCCCTGTACCAACTCGAAGTTTCGCATCGTCAAATGAGCCGGATGTCGACCTTAGTCAGTCGGAAGTTCGTCACGCCGCGAGTTTGTCGGGAAAACAGTCTGTAGACACCATCCTCTAGCAAATTGCCTATTCCCCGGGGTATATGACATTGTGGGCTGACTATAAACTGTCAACTTCAAAAGAGGAACCGAGCAGTTATCCGAATCTATAAGGCCATGGTCCGTTGCTATCGAAATGGAGTCACTGAGGGGCATTCGCGCTTATTATAGACTATAGGGCAGAACGATTGGATGATTTAAATCAAGGAGCGCGGCTCCCCAGAAGTGTGCAAGCGCTTTACTTGCGTCCTCTTCGAAGAAAGGCCCAGTACGGTCTCCCAGTCTGTGATCTCCAATTGAGATCGTACAGTGTACGGAACGTCGAATTTTTCGCCGATTTTGCCATACGTGCGGCATACTATCTGAAACTCCCCGTTTCGGGACCTGTGCCGTTGCCGCGCATTGTTGAGCGCTGGACATTCCCACGAAGTAATTTCGTACATAAGAAAAGCCAAGAAAATTTTGAAAGGATAACACTTCGACGATTGATTCAGATCAAAGATGGCAATCCGCAGACTGTACAGACGTGGCTGGCCTTTTTACGAAAGCACTCCTTCTATGGAGTAGGTCTAAAGGCAAATGTTTGGGAGCATGAAAGTCTCGGTACAGTGCAATTTTACACCTATGATGAATTTGTTTTGTTTACTGACGTGCAATCTAGACGTGGCTAAAACTATGGATGATGCGATGCCCGAGATTGAGCAATCACTTGAACCGCACCTCTCCCAATTTGGCCAGAGAAAAGATAGGGGTGGTGACCAATCGATATTGGATATCTTGGAAAGCGAGCGATTTACCCAGAACAAGGGTCCATTGACTGACGTTCGCAGGGGCTAGATGGTCACTGCTAAATTCAGTGAGGTTATACAGACAAGTGTTGCTCTTCGGTCAGTCAGGGTTCTTGTTGACCTCCTTCTATTCTTTCCTGCGTTACTTTGTGTATACTCTACCATTTGTACTATCATACCATCCATCATGTCCCAAGTCTATTCATCAACTTATCTATCAAATGAGACAAGCATTTAAGTAAGGCTGTATAGCATACTGTATTCATCCTAGGCATAGCACGCAGATGTTTGTTGATTGAGACTTGAATCTTCTATTCTGCATTCTTCTTCTTCTTCTCCTTTCTTGGGGAAGTTTGATACTTTCGCGATATATCTATAACACGTGACTTCAAAATTTTCGTACCTCGGGCACTTTTCTTTGAAAGTCTCTTTTTTGTTCTCTATATCTCTATTTATTTCCTATCCCTTTTTTCTCTGTTTTGGTATGCATCCAAAAGCTAGGGTCGCCTATAATGGCCAAAGTTTTACAAAATTGTGTCTGTCAGCGAGAAATCGCGTCCAATTCAAAGGTCTAATTCAACATCGGCGCAGTTCATCATACTCCACAAAAACATCATCAGCAACCCACCAAACGATATTCTCGGGGATACAGCCAACCGGTGTACCGCACTTGGGTAATTATTTGGGAGCTTTGCGTGAATGGGTTCAATTACAAAACGGTGCCACAGAGGGAACAAAATTGCTATTCTCTGTAGTTGACCTTCACGCATTGACAGTGCCTCAAGATGCCCCCCGGTTACGGAATTGGAGGAAGGAGATGTTTGCGATCCTTCTCGCCGTGGGCCTAGATCCTGCAAGGTCGGCGATATTTTACCAATCCGATGTGAGTATTCTCAAAGTTCCAATGCTTATCATTAACTCTACGTACTGACTACCGCCAGGTCCCCGCACACACCGAATTGTTCTGGATACTGAGCACAGTGGCCTCTATGGGGTATCTATCACGTATGACCCAATGGAAGGTGAGCAGATACAGCAAAAAGCAAGGACGCAAACCATGCGGACATGCGTGGGTAATGATAGGAATGGCATCGTTTTCGGTATTGACCCCGTGTAGAGCAAGCTTCAATTACCGGAGAATACAAATCTGGAAGACTCGGCAGCAAGATCGAAACTTCGGCTAGGCCTATTCTCATATCCCGTTCTCCAAGCAGCAGACATCTTAGTCCATAGGTTTGGCACCAGGAAACTATGCGCTAAGACCATTTGCTGACAGGGATTAGGGCTACACATGTCCCCATAGGGGAGGACCAGAGGCAACACCTTGAATTTTCCAGAAACACCGCAAATAGCTTTAATCACCTCTATGGGTCCATTTTCCCACTACCTGAGGCGCTCATATGTAAGTTTTCCTCGTCCGGTCGGGTATTGGGTATATGGTAATAGTTGGGCATTGTCAGCACCCGCAAAACGAGTGATGTCTTTCAAAGAACCAACTCTGAAGATGTCAAAATCCCACCCCGATGAACGATCAAGGATTTTGCTCTCCGATACCCCGGAAGATATTCACAGAAAGATAAAGGGCGCACTTACGGACTCGGAGCCGCAGCTCAAATATGACCCAGATAACCGTCCAGGTGTCTCTAACTTGATTGAAATTCTCGCTCATTTTGAAGGCAAATCGTGCGAAGAAGTGGTCTCAGAATTCCAGAACTCAAGCCTTGGGGCTCTAAAGGGACACGTTGCTAGCAAGGTTGCTAACCATCTCCAGCCGATAAGGGAGAAATATTTTGCTCTCATAGAAAACAAAACAGGTTACCTTGAAGATGTTGCGAACCAAGGCAGTCAGGCCGCGCGTTCCAACGCTGAAAGTACTATGAAGCAAGTTAAAGAAGCACTAGGTTTGTGAATCATGTAATAACCATCTGCCTGTCCTACTACACAATTAAAAAACGTGAAATTAACCCGCCGAATTGAAGTTATATATTAAGTAAAATGATGCAACATGGAGAAATTGAATTGGGATTCTTTTCACCCCCCCCCAATGCTGGATTATTTGAGGATATGCCCTACTGAATTGGGGTTTTATTTAGTAGGTTGAGTTTTTCAAAGTATCCCAGTCAGTCGAGTCGGTCATCTTTTGACTAGATATAGCATACAGCTATCAATACCACATTTAAGTCATTTTGATTGCATTTGCGAGGTAACATACAAGGCACATAATGCTTTATCCACAACTAAAATGTGGCACTGTAGTATCAAGGATCTGTGAGTTATGATCTGCAATAATATACCGGTCATTTATCTACGTTTACATCGGCTGTATAGCGAGTGTCGTCAAAAGTCGTCTCCCGGTGCATACTCATTAGATGGAAATAACGGAGTAGACTACAGTAGGCCGGACATTCCCAAGCATGCTTCATAGTATCCCGTGGCTGTCGGTCAAAAAAAGCATCCGAGTACATTTTCGGTCTATCGTAGATCGGATGGTAGGGCCGGTTTGAGTAAATTTAGGGCTTGGACTAGCCTACACTTTAGTCAACCACTAAAGACATACAGAGATACCCCAGAGACTGTGTGCAAAAGGAATGGACAGGAGGCAATTAGGAAGATATGCAGTGAGAACATTTTGTCAGAAGTGTTCAAATGCAAAAGCTAGTAGTATGTACTGAACAGATGATAACTGTGATGCAAGTCATATTACCGCGTACAATCCACAGCATTGAGTTTTGAATTTGTGAAGGCTACAGTAGCTCTCTTGCAATAAATTCAAAAGATTAATCGCAGTTCCCAGATGCTAGCGCTAATTATTGACGTACCAATGAAGTGTGCCCTAATGAACCTAATCAAGTGACGTGACTTATCATGTGCCCTAAAAAGTCCGAATTGATCAATAACCAAGGCAGCTGTACAAAGTAAGCACGCAGGGCTAATTAATTTCTCAGGCTATCGTAGCAAGACGTATCAAAGCATCAAAGCTATATAGTTTTGGGCAATATACATTATTCCAACTAACCTATAAAATGTAGGCATTCATCCTCCTTATTGCAGTTGAATAAATTTACACTAACTTTAAGACTGCGGTGGTGACTTCATTCTCAATAAAGATGACGCTCGAGATTAAACAGTCATCGTGCCGTTCCAGTATCGTTTGGTCTAATAAATATGGGGCGTTGAATGACTTCCACTTGGATTATTGTACCAAGCCTACGTTGCCCATGCTACAAGCCATCACCAATACATCCTCCAAAACGATGTGGCGAAGAAGAGACACCCAATTGCTTTTAGGAGTACGTTGCAGACTTGCTGGGACATAAGGCGTCACTTCTGTTCATGTCAGCACCATGGGGAACCAGGTGGCGCGTCCGTGCTCTCATAAAAATGGTCGTTGTCTCCAATGGTCACTATGGAAGATGTCAAGCAGAATAGCACTGTTACTGAATTGCCCTACAACTGTCCAGCCCGGGTGACCAGCTTGGAGATCTCACTTTAGGGCACAATCCCGAGGTTCGTGCTATTTCTCAGTGAGCACGCGCTCAGAAGCCATTGAGCCATATGCATTTGGACGGGGCTCATCTCCGGGAAGCAAGGAGCCTTTACACTGCGAGAGATTGGAGAGTGCTTCGACAGCGCTCAGTTGTATTTGACCAAGGGACTTTGTGCACCCATTGGTAGCGTAGTTGTCGGGAATTTCATCTTCACCAATCGTTGGTGGAAGGCTACAACGGCCAATCGAGACGAATATTGTCTGGCTGGACTTTGCTCAGGCATCTGGCCGGATGCGCGATGAATTCTATCCTGCGATGTGCAAATTCAACCTGATTGCGATGGAGCATCCATTGATGAATTGGCTGTCATGTCTTTCACAACCAGATTACTGAGCGCAAGACTCTGTCAAGTGTTCAGGATCGTCCTCAAAGATGGCTCGAGCTAAATAATGTATTCTCAAGTCGAATTAAATTGTCTTCATAGTCTTCCTTCAAGCCATGCACAGAAATTTCCTTGATCTTGGTATTGTTAGTTTGATCTAGTTGCCTTTTAAACCCTTAGCTCATCAATCACTTCACACTTGGGAATTATGTTCCATGGTTGAGGTTATCCGGACCTCTCCGGAATGGCAGTAGCCGTTCAGCGTCTCTTCCTCTTTCAATGTTTCTTCGTATTTCCCTCTAGGGTGACGAGGCCCCTTGTCCCCCTTGTCATTGACATTTCTCTCTGCCACAGGATGTGGGTATGCTTTCAGAGTTATCTCTTGTCATTCTGTTGTTGAAGTCGGATATGCTTCCTAAGTTCTTGGTGGGCGCCAAAAGAGCATCCAGAGCCTTTGAAACAGCAGGTTTGGATATTTATGGTGTCATCTATGGAACATGTTAGAATTGAGGAACAATTTTTGATAACAAGACAAATACACCATACCACATGGTTCCTGTAATCATTGTGCATCTGGGCAATCATGCTGTAGACCAACAGCTCCAAGCCATTATGTACTCAGGGATCTTCTAGCACAAGCTTTCCAGCACAAACATGAACTTTTCAGTCGGAACCCTACTGCCTGAAGCATGGCAGTTATGATGTCAATAAAACTCAACCCAGCATCCAGCCAGCTCAATTGGCACTTTGAGACTGTCAAAGCATGGATATCAGCCAGAAGCACTTCTAGTTCACAACCAGCAGCCAGCAGTTGGGCCATCTTGACAGCCAAGATGAAGTAGCCACAGTGGGGTCGACCCATAGTGCCTATACCTAATGAAGCACTATCAGCACCTTCGCTATAGTCCTACTATAATATGGCTGTATGCAAGTAGCTCACCCCAGTAGGTTTTCAGGTTCTTCCCTTCCACAATAATATTTTCGATGATCTTAGGATTTAGGATCTCAGCAAGGTTTTTTCAGATGATGCTTCCTAGCTCACCATGACTCCAAGCTGAAGGGCTGGAAATGTAGGGCTGGAAATGTAAGCAATTCATGGAGGTTGTTGCGATTGACTCACTGGTCAAAAAGTCCCCAATATTGATCAATTATCATTGCACTACCTAACAAAGTCCCTACTCATCGTTTGCGCGGCTACGCGAATGGTTTGAAGATAGACCAGAAGAGGTAATGAGTAATGACTCACGCATTTGGGCCTGGTTATTTACATTAGCGCGTACCCTCATTTTGGGCTCTCTTTTCATAGTAATTATTGTTGTGAAATTTGCATGGTCTTTTCTCTTTTCTTTCTCTCTTTCTCTTTCTCTTTCTCTTTTTTTTTTTTTTTTTTTTCCTTTTTAATGGAGGGGAACACATGCTCAAACAATGAAAGCGATAGGAAACTAGGGCTTTAGGGCTTTTTATAGTTCATAATTGGGTCGGGTGGATTTTAAGGTAGATCATCCGAACCGCTTGCATCCACACCACGCAAAGAATTTTCCGCATATGTACGGAGTACATGTATGTTGAAGTGAATTCCATTCATACTTCCAATAATATGAGAGCAAATAGAAAGTGGTTTATATCAAGCCTGAATAGACCAATAATTTCCACTCAAGGTAACACTTCTCATTAAAAGTGGCATTGGCCCTATATGATCTCATGGATGATTTGACAATGCTCCTCATATAGACAGTACCGACCATCTGGAATGTATTATTCCTTGGGCTAGACAGTACGGAGTACTCCATGGCAGTGTCGAATTCCCTTTTTAGCTCTGCTGTTATTGCCGTTCGCAGCGGTAATTTACGATTACGTATACGGTATTTATAGTACGGTAATAATACATCAGTTCCATCTAAACCAATAAAAAGACATGTATTGTTGCAAGTCGCTCTTGGACCCCACGTGTATATCCTCCAAATACCATGCAATACCACCAGGCAAACAACGTCGATGATGAATCCGCTACCATTGGACCAAGGCCAAGTGGGGGCGCCGAAAATCCGAGCTACTGATTCCGACTGAGCCGGCCAACGCTTATTATTATTATTATCAGCCACGGAAGCAGCATGCGATACGACATCAGGCACCAGCCGATTCCAGGATATTCGGTTCAAAAAGCAATAATGTCTCCGCAGGCCCAAGGAAATGAGCTGATTCCAGACCTGCCTTCCTGCGCTCCATCTTGTATATCGGAGTACAACAGCTTCCTCTAAATACTGTTCAACCTTGCTGATTGCTCAGTCATCCTTCGGATTCTGGATATTCTTTAGCTATCTCCCGACGAGATTTTTTTTTTTTTTTTTTTTAAGTGAAAAGAAAAAAGAAAAAAGAAAAAAATGCGGAGCGCATGGCTATGGTCTTTCTTTGTCTATCTTGCGCTTTCCAAGGCTCATATGTTGACGCTACACCGGAGAGATGTTCCCTCCGTTGTGCCGCTAGACATTCAACGAAAGGATATTCTTGATCCTGTCCATCGGGATCGAATGCGGCGGAGACGAGACCAAACTGTTGGTCAGAAGCTTGATAATGAGGTGTGTTGATTTTTTTTTTTTTTTTTTTTTTTTTTTTTCTTCCCTTGGTTTCTCGCCCCGTGGCTTGATTATGGGTTTATAGATCGCTCATGCGTTGAGAAGGAAACGCTTTATTTTTGTAATATCACTCTTGGTACACCAGAACAGAGCTTGCGTTTGGTTCTTGATACCGGAAGCAGCGATCTTTGGTGCAATGCAGCGAACTCCACTCTTTGCTCCTCTCTAGGTAGTCCTTGCCGCACATCAGGTTCTTATGATGGTGATTCTTCATCCACCTATTCCTATGTTTCTTCCAACTTCAACATATCATATGCGGATGGTTCAGGAGCGGTCGGTGACTATGTAACCGACACTATCCGCATCGGAGGTATCACTTTAAAGGATTTCCAGTTCGGCGTTGGATACTCGTCTAGCTCTTCTGGTAGGTTTATATACCAATCATTCCCTCCTACCAAAGAAAAAGACAAAGACAAAAAAAAAACGGTATGGCTAATCGAGCGTGATTGTTGTGCAGAAGGTGTTCTGGGCATAGGATATGCGTTGAATGAAGTACAAGTCGGTCGGTTTGGCCAGAGCGCTTATCCTAATCTTCCTCGGGCGATGGTTGAGAATGGCCTGATCAGTTCGAATGCCTACAGCCTTTGGTTGAACGACCTGGAAGCAAACACAGGCTCGATCTTATTCGGCGGCGTTAACAAGGCAAAATATATTGGCGATTTGAAGACTCTTCCGGTTCAAACAGTCGACGGTGGCTATTCGGAATTTATCATTGCACTCACAGGAGTAGCCTTTGCATCCGAGTCCGACAGCCACAGTTATTCGTCAAATTCACTACCGGCAGCGGTGCTACTCGACTCCGGAAGTTCACTGACGTACCTGCCGGACTCGCTTGTCGAAGACATATACAGTGACTTAAACGTTGTTTACGAAGCATCAAGCGGGGTCGGCTACGTACCGTGCAGTCTAGCAGACGAGAGTATCAATATCACATACACATTTTCTGATCCTAGTATCACGGTTGGCATGGGCGAACTGACCCTCGATTCGGGTCCTCTTTATTTCCATGACGGTACACGAGCATGTGTGTTCGGTATTGTTCCTGCTGGAGATAGTACCGCTGTTCTAGGCGACACCTTTCTGCGCAGTGCATACGTCGTCTATGATTTGGCGAACAACGAGATTTCCCTCGCCAACACAAACTTTGACCCCGCCGATGACGATATACTTGAAATCGGGACAGGTGATAATTCTGTTCCCGGTGCTACAAGAGTTGCAAATCCCGTTACAACCGTTGCCGTGGATAATGGTTCTGGGGCCCGAATTGGGGGCCCAACCGGCAGTGTTTCTACGGAGTTACCAACAGCAACCAGTGCTGCCACTGCTATTTCGCCGGATACGAAAGGAAATTTACTTCGCAGGCTTGCAAGTGTAGGCGTTGGGTGTATGTTGTTGGCATTCTAGGTTTTTATATATATATGCCCAGGGACTGGAAACTTGTGTACAATGATACTGTAAATACTCCGTGATATTATGCAATTTACTCTGTATTTTGAGTGAGCTAGTTAATATAAGACAGCAGTCTGTTGAATTCGAGTCTGTAGTTGAGCGAACCATTCAATGTCACTTCCGCAGGATGACAACACAAGGCCCTTCTTTGTTATCACAGTGGTCTGCTTGTCCCTCAGACCAAAGGCCAACAGTCCACTCGTGATCTCGAGGCAATTTATTGGAGAAGGCTTTGCAAATAGCGATCACACGACTGCCTTGTTGACGACTGCCACATTCAAGGACTGTGAGTCTGATGGATAACTTGAATGATAATGCAATAAGATGATGATAAAATATATCTTCCCGCTTGTAATCCATGGTTATAGAATAGTTCATGTTGGCAGGAGGTGGTACCAGGGCAAGCTCAGGTTCGAAGAACCGAACACTGCGGGCAGTTGTGCCATCGCGGAGGGAGTTGGGTGAAATATATGGTGGGTTTGAGACCAAGATATCCCAGTCAAAACTTTCTCTTGATCCTGGGTCCATTCTACACTGGGGTGTATATGTTTCCAGTATCTCCTCGATTCTTGAGTTATGTCCATTATCATGGCCAAGTACATCGCCTTGGTGGAAATGGACTTCTCTGTAGGACCGATCTGAGAGCAAACCAAGCTGGAGGTTGTGGTCGAGATTTCTTGTGGCCAGTTGAATAGCTGCAGCACTAATATCAATACCTAGTATGAATAGCTGCTGGAAACGAGGGGCGAGAAGATAATGCAAGAGGAGTGATATACAACCAGTGCCAGTGCAGAGATCTAGAACGCGCAGGGGTCGTATCAACCCCGACGGTTCGACATTTCCATTCTGGCCACTGGCTAGGAAATATCTTGAGATTAACTCGGCAGCATGTATGGTATAAGACTCTGTCTCTGGTCTTGTTACAACGTAGTTAGTGTGAAAGGCCAGTTTCCTAACGGGTGGGGAAGAAAGCGACAAACCTCGGTATCAGGACTCCCTTTTCACATAATATTTCCAGGTTTCCGAAGGGCTGGTCACCGAGTATATATTGAAGAGGCATCCCCTTCGAACGCACTCTGCACATCGTTTTTAACAAAGTTTTCCAGCCTGAAGCCGGGTATTTCCTGGGCCATTGTTTCCACACGTGGATTGCTCGCTCGCGTAACCAGCGTAACTCATTTTGCGCTGAGCTGAGAGAACGACATTCTTGTAAAAGTATTGGCAAAAAACAGTTTTGTCTGTATGCCTTTATGATGGTTGAAGTGGGAATCCGGGGCATGGATGGCGAATAATCTTGAATTTTGGAGAGGCTGTTGTTGTCCTCTCCGTCCCACTTCCTACGACTCACAAGGTAAAAAAAAAAAAAAATAGAAAAAAAAAAAAAAAAAAAGAGGGGCGCAGGAGAAATAGGGCTAGCTGTTGCTGTACCTCGCTTTTGCTTTTCCGGCTCTTTTAATTTGAATCCAGTACAAGTTATATATAATTATATATAATGAAATAAACATTTTTAGCGTTATTTAACCGGACTAGATTATTACATTAAAACGGGTTGTTCCTAATCTCCCTTTGATTTTATTTTATATAAGGCTAGATGTAATGAATAAGGATACTGGATGATGGGACTACTTAAATAAAGTCTGATTGATCATATGAAAGTTTCTGTATTTACATCCTAAAGACCAGGATATGGAACCCAGGTTTACAGTTACACTACCCAAAAAGCATAGTGGTTGATAGAAATTCATGATTAAATATGATATTTGACCTTAAAAAAAAGGCATATCTGGTGTGGCCCGTCCAAAGCAGACATCAATAGTTACAAGTAGCCACCTCTCTCCTTATATATCATTTCTCGGGCCTTACCCCAACTCCGATACTGATGTCTTCACTATATGGATCTTTTAGTTATTCCAACAATGGATAAGTGGTTGGCGGGCGAAGTCGCGAGTAGTTCTTATCTACATTTCATGCCTCCAAGCTAAAGCGCATTATCAAATACTTAATCCATGTCCAACTGTTTTTAAATTCATATATCTAGATACCAGTTTCTTTTTATTTCTAATCTACTAGAAACATTACTTCCAATAGTAGGCAGTAGCTTCATAAGAGTTATTTAAGTGACCTTATTAAACCCACTGTCCTAAAGAATGGTCCTGATAAGTCATTATCCAGTAAAGCATAAACTTCCAGTAAATTTGATAATGGCCGAAGGTGCTTCAATAAAGCATAGAATAATTATTTTAAATAGATAAAGTCTTGGTGCTCTTTCTCTGTCCATTTTTTTTCATATAACTACGATTATATAAAGGCATATATATATATAGGGAATTACTGCTGCCACCTCCCACACCCCGTATGTTTGACGCCACACCCACATTTGCTAGCGTCACACCCCTAATGAAATCCACGTCGAATTAAGCTATCACGTGACCACAAACATCCGCACTGGCGGACGTCTCCAACTACGTATGTTAGATAGGCAGAAAAAGACACTCATTTAGCGCCATTTTCTCCCTAACTTAAACGCTTTGATCTCATGCTTGTTTAGCCAATGAATCAATGATAAGCCATCATTCAGAATTATTTACTCGCTAACAAAATAGGTATCTCAAAACAGATGTCAACCACCATTGTATGCTCCTTGCCTCTTCCCCATCTGCTAATTAGCTACTGCAAGTGAGCAAAGGTACTAACTTTTCTGTTCTCAAAGCCTTGTTACAAGCTGTAAAACCAATAGTATCCAGGAGTGGCATCTTATACTTATTTGTTATGTATGTGTAATCCATGAAAAGAATCGTTGGATACTGGTTAAGTTTTAATGGTCTTATGACTGCAGAAAACAGCAGTTACAACATTATCCTCATTTGCCTGGTAGTTTACCACCCAATTGCCATTATCTGGGACCCAGCTCAACAGTGCTTGGACTGGTGTCTTTCCATCAAGCAGTGTCATGGGCTCGGAATAGTAGATACTAACGGATTGAATTCCTGTCTAGACTATTGTAGCCATTCATTATCAGCTTGAAGGTGTAAAACTAGCTGAAATGGACAGCCCATCAGCTTGGTCTTCTCTTTTTGAACGCGGTTATTTTTATCAATATGAGACTGATATTTTCCGCCGCGGTTGCAGTGTAGATAAACCTGATATAAAATGTCATCTGATTTGCGCTTTTTGGAGGTTCTTGTTGTCAGGGAGCAGCCATGACGGCCAGTAAAGTCATTTGAGGAATTTCATGGCAGCCTCTCAAGTGGGAAAGGTCTCGTTGATTGGGAAGGTGTGGAATCTGATCGTGCAGTTCACCAGGCATGATGGATGTTGTTGATTATGGCTCTTGATGACCATCATCATCAGAGCTCTCATAGCCAATGAGATTGAGCGACATGATGGATTGTTGTAGGTGTACGGGCATGGCGCCTGGCGCCTTTGTTTACCATATCATGCCCCACAATATAGCCCTGGCGCTAATACATATACGGAAATATTAAGTCATGTGATGGCTTAATTCGACGTGGATTTCATTAAGGGGTGTGGCGTCAAACATACGGGTGTGGCAGCAGTAATTCCCTATATATATATTCTTTTATAATCTAGAGAAACCACGCTACACTAGTAAAAGAATTAATTAAAATACCTTATAAAGATTGTAGTATATTAGTATTAGTATATATAAAAAATTAAATTCTCTTTAGCCAACTCGAAAGTAATACTCTATAAATATCTAATGACCATATTTTAAGGAAAAGTTATATTTTAAAACGATATATTAAGATTCTTCAAACAAAGATAACAGTGTTCCAGTGTTCCTGATAAATATAAAGAATATAATCTTTATTATACCTAGAATATAGAACTTAGTCTCAAATACATTCGGAATATGCCCTAGCTGGGGCCTCATAGGCACTACCCCATCATGTCCCCCATTCTTGACCATCTCAAAGTGAGAGCTTCCCATGTGACCTGTGACAGTGCAAATCCCATGTATATAAACCCCATCAGACACAAATCCCACCCCCTTGGGGGTGGGTAGAGCATGCATAGTCTTAGACTGGAAAATGCTCTATAAAATGGAAGACATCATCATCATCATCATCATACATTCAGAATAAACTCTCTAATAAGACTGTCTTGTCTTTCTAAAAATGGCCTTTAAAAATATTGTACTTTACCTCTTTTTATACAGGATCCCACAACTCTCACTAAGATGACTTTAAAAGATGAAATAAATATTATAAGGGAGGAATTTGACTTGTTATATTAATTAGATGATTAATTAAATGAATATAAAATTTTCTATACAGATATATTTGAGAAATTTTATATAATATACCCCATGAGCTTTAGTGATAAATTACTTAAAGTATATTATCTTGAAAGAAAATTAGACACTACTATTGTACCAAGCACTTTATAAATTAGCTAATTCAGCACCTTATCTATTATAAAAGCATTAAGATATCATCAATTAAAATACTTATTTAACCTTAGCAGTATTAATAACTCTTATGAGATCATCAACATTAATGAGAGGTAAAATTATATTGACCAAATATTGATAAGCAACTATATTTTTACTTTTACTGTTGTTAGCAGTAGTATTAGCCAAAGCTTTAAGCAACAGTTAACTGTTGCCGTATTCTTCTATGAGGCTATATATAATTAAAAGAGAGTGCTAAAAAAGCAATCTAGCTGCACTGTCTAATTAATAACTTAGCTATAAAAATTCAAGTGTATATAAATTTATAGTGATAATTAAAATATATCAAGATTATTAGCAGTTTAAATATATTAATATATAATACTACATCATTCACAAAACGATTAGTAAAGGCCTTAGAATTGTTAGTTATTATGGCTGTATATACGATGGCATTTTACATAGATTGCACCATTCTTAAATAATATTGCACTTCTTTAACGTAATCTATCACCGAGCTGGCCACGTGATACACATCCACGACCACCTACTATGAATTTCATATTTGCAATTTATCCACAACCACAACCATGGGGCATGGCTGATAATTCAAAAGATCGCATGAAACTAGCTCTAGAAGCCTTTAAAAAAAGGCCCTTTTTCATCAAAAAATGCAGCAGCGAAGGCATATATAATGTGCGCCTCTCTACCTCTAAATAGAACCCAGGTTAAAAGAACCACATGCCGCAAGGAATCAATTGACACCTACTGAAGAAAAGACACTCTCATCATGGATTATTGATATGGACCAGCGTGGCCTACCTCTACAAATCTCTACTGTACACTACTTGGCACAGTTATTACTGTCTGCACAGCTATCCTCCCAGACTGCCTATGTGGGAGAGTGTTGGGTTACTTGGTATATTTGATGCCATGATGAACTCTCCTCTAAATACAGTTGAAAATATGACTACCAGTATGCCAAATGTGAAGATCCAGAGTTCATCATGGGGTGGTATAAGCGCTTCCATGATGTTATTGAAAAATATGGAATTTATTCAGCAAGATATCTACAATATGGATGAAACTGGATTTCAGATGGGCATGATATCCACAGCCAAAGTTATATGTGGCTTAGAGACTCAGGCAAGCAATGCCAAAGCCTTACAGCCTGGGAATCATGAATGGGTAACTGCTATTATTGCAGTAAATACAACTGGATAGACTTTGCCTCCCCAGATTATCCTGGCTGCAGAAAACCACCAATCTCAATGGTACCATGCTATTCCAAATGATTTTATAACCAGTGACAGCAAGAATGGCTGGCCAAATGATGGATTAGGCCTGGAGTGGCTTCAAACTGTCTTTAAGCCACATACAGCCTCCTGTACATTAGGGAGATATCACATGCTGATTTTGGATGGCCATAGCAGCCATGCAATTGCAGAATTTGACCATTTCTGTATAGAAAGGAATATTATCCCTTTATACATACCTCCACATTCATCACATAGCAACCAATCCTTTGGTGTAGGTAAGACTCCAGCAGATATAAACCAGCTTGAGGCCCAAAGAAGTGACTGTCACTTCCAAAATCTTCAGATATCCCCATCAACTGTGGAAGAGGCAATGGGAAAGGTCATTAGAGGGGCAGGGATGACCATGTATAAAAACTGATCATGGATATAGGAGTGGGAGTCAGGTGCCAGGTGGCTCCTACTATAAAGTATGTACAGGCCCAGGACCCTAATACATATTGTGAGGTTTTGCAAAAGCACTTTTAAAATAATGTATTTAAGAATCTGCTATACTAGATGTAACTTTATATCTTAATATATATTAATTATCTAACAATATTAAAAACTGTACTAATATTTTTTCTAAAGCTGCTACGAGCGTTCTATCTAAATATATAAGATATAACCATTGTGATGAAATGCCTCTGAGCTTTCTGCCATAGTCACTGCTTGCCTTATTGGGTAGCATGTAACCACATAAACCAATATTGTTTGCCTGCAATCACCCACTATTTTCCTCCCCATGCTTATGATCCTTGTTGATAGGTTATCTATTAGATAGGATAATAAATATATTCATCTTTTAGATAAGGCTGTAATATAATCTTAAGTATTACTATCTTTTAGTTTCTCTTCTTCTACTCTATCTAAACTACTGACTTAACCTATAGGTTATAAAGCCAAATAATGTAATATAACTATATAGAAGAATTATTCTAAGAATTATCTATCTTTTGTTTCAAGACTATTAATTATCTCTAGACTATTAATAACTAAAACTTATATAACTGCTTTTCCGCTTTAACTACTAGTATAGTCAGTAATTAAATCTATAATAGAAATCTAATTAATCAGTTTTAACTCCTGTATTAACCATTAAAAAAGCCAATGAGTGATAATAGTGATTAAGAAACCTCTATTATTTTAAATAATTAGAATTATCTTTATAAAAGAAAGGACAATATTTTCATTACTAGCAGGCCATTTATACAGTTTAGAACTGTTCTATCAAGATAGCTATAATAGAAATTAAGAACTTAAGGAAGAGCACTAATGGAGATGTAATCATTCCTAAGATTAACTCTAGACAAAGTCTCTCCCAAGGTTAGATTATATTAACCTAAAGGAAGTGAACCTCAGTAAATTAATAGATAGAAAAGAACTTGTATAAATAGTCTATAATGAAGTAAAGTTTCCCTCGCTTTCTTAATTGATATTGGAGTAAGTAGGTAGCCTTTTGGATATTTAGAGCCATTAAGCTCGCTTAATTTCTAAGAATATATACACAATGGTTGAAGAAGCCAATAAAACATCTACTTCTGCAAATTAACATCACTCCTTTTATTTTAATACTCTTCTTAAAGAAGGCTTTAAGACAGACTAAGATCCTGAAGCTTCTACCCCTCTATGATAATGATGTCTTCCATTTTATAGAGCATTTTCCAGTCTAAGACTATGCATGCTCTCTCTACCCACCCCCTTGGGGGTGGGATTTGTGTCTGATAGGGTTTATATACATGGGATTTGCTCTGTCACAGGTCACAAGAGAAGCCAGGTTGTGACAATATATTTGATAATGAGAATGCTTGTGGGTGTGTCTATTGGTAAGTACTAAGCAGCCAAGAAATCAACTATATCAATATGATTGATCGATCTCTAGCTGCATAGAGGTTTGAACCCACTGGCCGTATAGGCATTTCTGTTAAACTGGTCGTCCACCCGGCGGGGGTAAACTATGGTAGAAGCGTGATAGGGTATATGTATGTAACAACTTCGGTAGTAATAGCCAGTCCCATTGGTGATTAGACTGAACGCTGGTCTCTCTAACGTTCGCCCAGCGGTCTCCCTAAGGAATGTCGGGGTCACGTGCCGGCTCCGGGCGGCCCTATACCTAAACAGGTTACGACCGCACTATTACTACTTCGGCCTAGTGCCAGTAGACCTTCGGTGCTTGTCTAATATACATGCGTTCCGCCCTATGTCCGTAACAATTTCAATGGCCCAAAACAAGCAACATCAAGCAGCTGAAGAAGATGTGATGAATGTGGAGGTAGATAAAGGAGTATAATATGATTCTCTGTGCAAAAATGGTCAAAAGCAGCAGTTGCATGGCTGCCATGACCATGAAGAATCAGAAGCTGGTGGGTGCCAATTGTATGCATTTTGGTATGCTTTTAAAGACCTCTTTGAGCCAGAGCTCTCCAAGCTTATCATTTGTCCATCCATTCTCACTGACTCCAATAACCCAGTCTTCAGGTGTATGTTGATATCAACCAAGTGGATTGGTGTTGCTTGCCAGCAAAGATAATCAATGGAGGAAGAGATAGCCTGTTGAACCAATGGCCTCAATGGCAGTCACCCATTCATGATTTCCTGGCTGTATGGCTTTTGCATGGCTTTGAACCTGAGAAGTAGTGACCTGGTCATAATTAACATAGATTCAATGATCAAATTATTTATTATTGGGGCATACCTTTGCAGTTGATGTCATTCCCATAGAGAAACCAGTCCCATCAAAGTTATAAATATCCTACGCAATAATACCATATTTTGCAATAGTATTCTGAACCAGCTGAAACTAATCCCTTATTATCTTTCGATCTTCATAAAGAGCACATTGATAATCATATCTGCAGCTAATACCCAGTTTAGAAGGGTAATTCTTCTGTAGTTGAGATTTCAGCCATTTAGGATGGAATCAACTGGGAGGAATAATTACCTTTTAGATAAGATTTAATCCCTCAAAAGGGAGATTTATTATAAAAATAGAAGTTATTGATTGGTTTCTTGCTACGCATATATATATGGCCTCCAATATCCAGTTATCTATACATAATGTGGTCAGTAAGTGAGCAATGCATATAAGTGAGCAATGCACCATCCAACCAAATCTCACCCAACATCCTAATCATTATTTTTATTGCCTACCATGCCATCAAATCGCTCTCAATCCTCTCAAAAATCAATTGAGCAGGAGGGTAGGGTCTTATTAGCTAGCTATCGAAGCTATTCAGAAAGACCAAATTGCTTTTGTGTGTGAAGCAGCACGCTGATTTAGTGTGCCTGAGTCTATGCTCCACTGCTGTCTAACTGGCCATACCAATTGCCATGATACACGTGCAAACAACCACAAATTGATTGAAACTGAGTATACACTTCAATGGATTTTGTCAATGGATTCATGTGGCACAGCGCTAATTGAATAATTCTCTAATGGGCTTTTGCAGCCTGCATATAGATATAGTGTTTTAAACTCTAAGACTTAATGACTTGTCAGTAATAAAATTTAAGGAAAAAGTTTTTTAGATCACTAGCATAGAATTTTCATAATAATGTCATTTTCCAGCTAATTAATGCTCTCACTGATTTTTAAGATATTGATAATAAAATAGACTTTATACTATATAAAGGTGTTATTCAGGCAGGTTTTTTAATTTTTATACAAGTGTTATATCCTTCAAAAAAATTGAACTCTTTGAGTGGTGGTTCTGAAAGCTTATATAATCCAGGCGTCTATAACGTAATCCACGGCCGAGCCGTCCACACGGCCGTCCCGTCCACTTTCTCCGCAACCACCACGAATTTGAAGCTTTGCAACCACTAACACCATTAAATTAAAATATATAACAGACAAAATAACTAGCTATTTACTAGGGCAGCTTCGTATTGTATGTCCAACAGTCCCACAGCCACTACAGCGTGGTGAAGCGCGTTGACGAGGCACAGGTGTAGGCTTATCAACCTGCTCATTAAGCTGTGTACCAAGCTGCTGAATATGCTCACGACCTTCTTGTACAGAGATAAATAAATCATTCCCTAGAGAAGCACGTTTCATTGTCTTCTTCTTTATTTTACGTTCACCTTCAGCCCGTAGAACCTTGATTTCCTGTTGAAGAAGATTCATATTCATTGCCATCTGTGCAGCCTTCTCAAGATGCTGAATATGAGAGACTGGACTGCTAGAAAGTGATCTTTTCTTTTGAAGACTTCTCTAGGCTTTGAACCTTGTGATCAATCTGGCGAGGATTCTGAGGTGTTTCAAAAGCAGATGATATTGAGCCTTCAACAAGTAATGGTGGTGTTGGTGTACGAAGTTGAAAGGTGATTTTCTCAAGAACCTGGTCTTGATCAAAGAGGTTTAAGCCCAGCTCCTGCAAAGCCATTGCATATATTCCTTGGGAGAAATACTGCTTCACATGCAGGAGGATATAGGTATAGAAAATCCTCCTTATCAATGTGGTTATTTCCAGCCACCATCATCCCTTCAACTAGTTTTCCATATGCGCGTTTAAGCGGCCCAAAAACACCAACATTGAGTGGCTGAAGAAGATGAGATGTATGTGGAGGCATACAAAGACAGATGATTGCATTCTCTTTGCAGAAATTATCAAACTCTGCAGTTTGGTGACTTGAATGACCATCAAGAATAAGCAACTGCTTCGCACCAGTTGAATGTGGTTTGGAAAAAGGATCAAACACTTGCTTCAGCCACTTAAGGCCTATCTGATCTGTTGTCCAGCCATTGGTGCTATTGGCAAGCTTCCAATCTTGAGGAAGATTAGGCTCTTGATACCAGGGAGCTTGGTGTTCTTTCCCCTTTAAGATAACCACTGGTGGTATAGTGATTCCTTTAGAACTCACACATTCAATGATTGTGACCCATTCACGATTTCCCTGGATAACTGTACAAGGTCTCTCACTGCGCTCCACTGCAGTAATAACCTTAGATGTTGTACAGAGTCCCATTGCAAAGCCAGTCTTATCAAAATTCCAGATATCATCCTCATGTATACCATGTTCTTTAATAGCATCATGTACAGTCCCAAACCATTGCTTTAAGACTTTTGGGTCCTCCTGCTTCGCACGCTGGTATGTCATCCTTTGATTGTACCTTGTACGTAGTTCAGGGCGGCGTTTAATAAAGGAAGAGGCCCAGTTGACTCCAAGGACTGCAGTGGGATCTTGTGTACGTTCATGAAGTAAAATCTGTGCCATTCCATGTAGAAACTCTGGTTGAACTGAAAAGCCTCGTTTATCTGCATTGAGAAGTTGTTTGACAAGAGATTCCTCTTCAACAGCGGTCAATTTATGGCCACTGGCGCGTGTTTCTGAGCGTGGTTGTATTTCATTGAGCTGATCAATGAAAGTAGTCTTTGGCACTCCAAAAACTGCTGCAGCCCTTGATTTTGATTGGATTTTTTTGCTTCTATACGCGTTGATAGCCATTTGAATTCGATTTTCTTGAGAAAGGGGCATTTTAGATGATGGTGGTGATAAAATGACGCGTTGAAGTATGATTATTGGAAAATTGCGGAGGAAGTGGACGGCTCGGCCGTGGATTACGTTAAGAGATAAAAACTTACAGGATATTAAGTTCATTCAATGCGCATTTATAGAGCCATTGAATGGGTTATTATTAAATAATACTCTCTTTAGGCCGTCACTCTCTAAGAGACACACACACACAAATAAAGACACTAATGAAAACATTAACAAAGACACCAATAAAGAAGACAAAAAATATTTATATACAAAAGGCATTCCTATATAACTGAACATGATCCTTTAAGAGAAAGAGTAACTACTTATATATAATACTGTAATCACTTCATCTCTGTTAAGGCTGTCCATTCTTTGCCTATCCTTTAGAATCCTTACCAGACTTGAAAACCTCTTCATCTATAGTAATGATTAGTTTCTAATTTAGAACTTTTCTTATCAAAGCTGGAGTCCTCAGAATTAAACTTCTCTGTCAAAGTCATGATCCGGATCCAGTGGCTCAGAAAAATAGGCAGTGCGAGAGAAATAGAGGAAGATGAAGGAGGAACAGTTGATGAAATGATATTCTTATCTAAACTAGTGTAGCCATCAATGAGAATATCAGATCTGGGGAAAGAAGATAAGAGGAAATCTATCTAGATGATGGGGTTTTATAGGCATTTATATAACAGCACTAGTGCCCTGTTTGCCTTCATTGCTTATATGGCCTTGTTTAATGTGCTGATGTTATTTACATCTGTCTTTGGTGCGACATTTGAGTCATCATATATCCTCTCTTCTTAGGCAGTCTGTCTTCAGACTCTATATTAATTTATTACCACCAGGGTGGTTATTGATTTCGTTAATCTTTTCTTATGCATTTAATCACTCCTATAAGCAGCACAACAACAGTTCTAGTTTATTTAGATATCTCTAATAATTATGTAGACAGTGCAGTGAGTTCTTAAAGTTGGCAGCTGGGTATTATATCTGGTCCTCATTAAATCTAATCCACTTCACCTGGTACTGTAGCCAGTGTCAATTTTGATGAGAGATAAAGGATTTTCTTTACTTCCCACTTCTATTCATCTTTAATGATGATTCAGACTTAATCACCTGCTTAGATAAAGAATCACTGACAGTACATTATAGTTTATCTAGTGAGAAGACTAAATGAATCCTCATTATATTTAGATAATAAGAGTTATCAAATGCATTCAAAAATTAAGATCCTGGGCCTGTTGTTAATTAATTAATTACTTATCTTAGAGAGAGAAGATTCCTCCATGGGTGTCCAGTTAAATAAAATCCTTGGCTTATATCTATAGTTAACAAAATATACCACTTAACTTAAAAGATAGAGAGTAGCAGCAGTAAAATAAATTAATAACAGTTTTAATTAATTTAATCCATCACCAAGTTGCACATATCACTGAATTGCGCGGCGGCGGCAGCGGCATCCATGCTATGCATAATCTACCCATCAATTCCTTTTAAAGCAAGCCAAATTCCTCAAATATATTACTATCTAGTAGGGCATTTCAATCTATTATGGCCTTCTTTATTGCAATTGCTGCACCGTGCTGGCCTTATGGCTCTTCTTGCCTCTCCCGTTCTCTCAATCATTGAAACCCTTCACCACCAGTCAAACTCCCTCCATCTTGAATAAAAGCTCGTGTCATCTTCTCTTTCTGATGCCTATTTGATGTGCGAAGCTGATGGAGTTCTTGTTGTAAAAGGATAGAACTCTGCATTGCCATCTCTGCACCCTTAATGACTTTTTCAAGCATCTGCTCTGCAGCCACTGAGGATACAGACTGTGTTTGAAGCTCTTGCATCTGCCTTTTCTGTTGATTTGACGGATAGAGATTGGCTGGTGTCCTTCCTAAATAAGAGGATTGATTGCTGTTTGAAGAGGAAGGTGGTGTTGGTGTCTTCATTTTGATATGGAGTTTTGCAAGCACACTAATTTAAAAGGAATAAGATTAGCAGTCTGATGAGAAAAGTATGCTTTTCAAACTCCTGAAGCTATTCAAACCCCAAATTATCATTTGTCCAGCCATTATCACTGATACTAATCCTGTATTCCTTTGGAGTATCTGAATACCACTGTGATCGATGCTTTTTCCCAGCCAGAATAATCTGCGGAGGTAGAGCAGATCCAGAGGCATTTATGGCGATTATTATAGTTATCCACTCACAATTTCCAGGCTAGATAGATTTGGCATGGCTATCTCTAGTTTCAGAGCCACAGACAACAACCTTTGCAGTTGATGCCACTCCTAATGGTCATATTTGTAGGTATATTTGGATTTGAGCTCAGGACGGCGTCAGATAAAGTGATTAACCCATAGCTCATCAATGGTGGCTTTCTCATGGGGTTTCAGCCATGCAGATAGCAGTAATTGGGCAAGATAGCAGACATTTGATATTTGAAGAGGTAGGCCACGCTGATACATATCTAGAATCCATCTAGATAGAGTCTTCTTCAAGTTCTGATAATTTTCGACAATTGGCAGTCATTTCATGTCAAGAGGTCATTCCATTCAGTTGATACATTAGTCCTTGGGATGACATTAAATTCCTTTGCACATGCAGTTTTGGATTGAAATTGGCCTTTATTAAAGGCCTCAATAGTTAGTTTTATTTGCTCCTCCTTGTCCATGATAAACATGATGATAAATAGGAGGATTAAAGAGTAGTATGTGGTGTGTTCAGGGGAAGCCGCCGCTGACCACGCAATTCAGTGAGTGATATACGCAACTCGGTGACAGATTACGTTAAAAGAACACTTTAAAGATATTTCTTAAGTCTTATCATATATAAGCTATTGATGGCCACTGAATCTTTATATATAGATAAAGGAAATTTTACATGACTATAAAAGATACTGATAGATTAATAAATTCTAGATCTAGAAAAAGTAGATGTAGCATGTATTCTATCTATTTAGATTAGTTCTATAACTGGAAGGTGATAGAGAATGGCATCTTAATTTAACTGAATTAAAGCATAACCATTTGCTATTATTTTGATTCATCTAACTCTTTACTAAATGAAGCTGCAAGCCAGAGATTCTGATATTAACATTTATATTCAGCTTATAATGAAATGAATACATGCTACATTATATTAACTATATAAGATGATGATCTCTCATCCTCTCTAAACCTGAATATAATCCGGAGCATCACCTCCACCATATACTCTATAATTTACTCATCGGGGCTTTTAGTTAATGGCCATTAATCTAATCCCCTTTGACTGTATGAAGAAGACCTTCAGGGGTTTCTTTTAATGAATCTAATGCTGTAAGTCTATTTTTTTTTTTTTTTTTTGGATTCCTAAAGCTCTTAGGGCATTGATTTTCTACCAGCAAGCTCTAGCTTTTATATAATTAATTTTCCAGGCCCTATCTCTGATTTCCCCAAGTCTATTTATTAAGCTTTACGCCTTTCTTTGATAGCTTCAATGAGATTGCAAGTAATTCAGGGTCATCTTCATTTTTACCTCTCTTTATCATTGTCTACAAGTCCTATTCCTTCTATTAGTGGCAGTGATCTTACACACATGTCTTTCAAAGGGATTCTGGCCCTGCACAAGGGAAAGAAAGAGAAGTGAATGAGCTATTTCTAGATTGCTGTTAAAATTATGCAAGACTTCTCAATTATCTCTTATCTTAATAATCTAATGCTTTAACTTTTAGAGGCTCTGTACATTTCTTCCATCTTAAATCTCTAACATGATATGTCACTAGTCTAAAATATACATTCTTATCTAATAAATATAGGGCTTTTTCACTATATCTATAATTATAATCAACTGAATTATATTATTAGATTTATATCCTTAGCTGACTGCTAATTTTTTATCTAGATTAATTATTGCATTGTTTATTTAATAGTAGATGTTAAGAAAATATAAAAGATAATTCATATGGCTTAATCTTATACTGAGCAACTGAAGTTGAATGTTACTTATATATAATTTTCCTAGATCTTTAAGTCATTTAAAGATAGCTATCTAGATATATATAAATATACTGTTTAATAATAGAATGATAAGGCAGTTAGATTTTTTTTGATTTCTTTTAGAGCTGGGTTCTCTCTCTCTTTGTTTTTTTTATTATTTTTTTTTGTACATTTTTTATATAATATAATTAGAATAATATTATCTTTATTTTTATAGTCTTGCTCTTACAGTTTTCTCTTATTTTTTTTTCTTTTTTGAAATACATCTAGGGCTTCAGTCTCTTAGAGAGTAATATAAGTTCTTACTACAGAGGTGTGCGAGATAAGTCTCGCTCGGCGCTAGTAATTTTTTAGGCGCTTGGCTGTAATATACGGTCAAGGTAGATCCCATGGTAATTTATATGATAGATCACTCTACCTGGCTGTCCACTGAAGCCGCCGAGGAAGCCATCTATGTACTCTGGGCAGGTGGTAGGAAGATAGAGAGCAAGTGGCATCAATAATGGCCTATATGGTTTAAAAAAAGCAATAAGATAGGCCATATGCAGTGTTGAGGGGGTTGCAGATGATGGTAGCTACGTGTAATGGCGTGTACAGTGCTGACTAGTCTATTCCTAAAAGGGAATAGCGCCGAGCGAGACTTATCTCGCACACCTCTGTAGATAGATAGCCCAGCTATCTGATAAGATAGTATTTTATTCAGTACCTCTTTTAGGTTAAAATTTATTATATTTCTCATTTTCTTATGATAATAGATTTTAATTTAGCTTCTTCATCAGGGAAAACTTTATAGGGTTTAAATAAGGACACATGAAAAATAGATTGAATTTAATAATATTAAGATATTTACTAGATTCAGTAGGCTTGTTCTTTTTTATATATTTTTTTATTATAGTAAAGGGGCCATAATCATATTAACAGTCACTAAGTTTAATAGAGATTCTGGATATTCTTAAGATTAAGCATGACTTTAAATCATTAATCTTATAGATCTTCAAGAGGTATATATTTTTTATTATACCATATCGGCTATTAAATACATTATTCAGATAACATATTTCACAAGCGAGTGACGCACCCAACGCGAAAAGCGTTAATTAATTAGACCTTTCCACCTCAACCACCCACTATGCCACCAATTCGCTCCCAAAGCTCTTTAGAAATTTAATAGAGCAAGAGGGTAGGGGTAGGATCTTACCAGCTATCCAGGCTATTAAGGACCAAGAAATCAACGCGTTCTTTTAACGTCCCTAAAGCTACTTTACGCCGCTGCCTCCATGGTACACCTTTTCGCTCTGAGACCCGCGCCAATAGTCAGAAATTGAAGAGGAATCGCTTCAAAAATGGATACTCTCTATGGATTCTCGCGGAGCAGCCCCCCGGCCCACTACTGTACGAGAAATCACGAATCTTTTACTCATAGGCGTGGATCTACCTCGGTTTAAACAGTCGGCGAGAATTGGGTCCCAAACTATGCAAAAAGGCACCCAGAGCTTTCAACCCGATTCGCAGGGCGCTATAATTGCGGGCGTGCAAAGTGTGAAGACCCAAAAATCATCCAAGAATGGTTTAATTGTGTGCAATGTACAATACTTCAATATGATATCAACCCTGATGATATATACAACTTTGATGAGACTGGCTTTTTGTAATGGGTTTAACTGCTACTGCAAAGGTAGTAACAAGGTCTGAATACTATGGTCGGTGATCCCTTTTTACAACCTGGAAATCGTGAATGGGCCACTGCAATGAGGCAATAAGCACATCAGGGTGGGTCTTGCCTCCATGCATCATTTTCAAAGGCAAGGTCTTTATTGAGGGTTGGTTTGACAATGTCCCAGGTGATTGGCTCTTTGAAGTTAGCCCAAATGGATGGACTTCTGATGAAATCGGGCTTCAGTGGCTTCAAAATTCCATCAACAATTACTTGTACAAAAGGGGAATATCGGCTTTTGATCCTTGACGGCCATGGTAGTAATTTGACACCAAAATTTGATGAAATTTGCAGTCAAAATGATATTACCCCAATATGTATGCCAGCACATTTATCACATCTTTCACAGCCACTTGATATTGGCTGTTTTGCAGTGTTAAAGCGATCATATGGTCAGCTTGTTGAAACAAAAATGCGTCTTGGGTTCAACCATATCGACAAACTAGACTTCCTTGAGGCCTACCCACACGCACGAATTGAAGCTTTCAAATCCAATACTATCAAAAATAGCTGCCGGTTTAGTTTTTGACCCTGATCGGGTGCTTTCAAAGCTCAATATTCGGCTTCGTACGCCCGACCATATCTTTTAATCTAGTAAATAAATCTGCAATCTTTCAGGCATATATTAATAAAGCCTTTCTAGATATCTATATAATTATTTATTTAGATAATATTATCTACTTTCAGTGCCCTGAAAAGCATAAATAAAATGTTTATACTAATACTTGAATATCTCTAGACATACATAACATCTAAGTCTCATAGATTTTATAAACTTTACTAATAGTTTGTCAAAAACTACTTTAAGATAACCTCTTATCTCACCAACCCTATTAAAAGAGCCATTAAAGGGAAAGCCTCTGTCACGGGCTTGGACTTAGTAGATATTGACGAAGTGATATGCCTATCTAAAGTAGCGTAGCGATCAATGAGAATATCAAATCTGGGGAAAGAAGAGAAGAGGAAATCTATCTAGATGATGAAGGAGTTATGTGTTTATGTGACAGTGCTAATGCCCTGTTTGCCTTTGTTGCTCATTTGGCCTTGTTTGGTGTGTTGTTGTTTGTCTATGCATGTCCCCAGACTCTATTCCCTCTTCCCATGTGACCTGTGACAGAGCAAATCCCATGTATATAAACCCCATCAGACACAAATCCCACCCCCTTGGGGGTGGGTAGAGCATGCATAGTCTTAGACTGGAAAATGCTCTATAAAATGGAAGACATCATCATCATCCCCAGACTCTAATATTGGTTTATTATCATTGGGGTTGTCATAAATC